ATGTACAAATGTAATCATACACTATTATAATGAGAACATACTTCTCCGTGGACGTAGCCCATTCATTAAGGGTGAACCACGTATATCTTGTCTTCTTTACATTTATCGCTTGCCCAAGTCTTTATACACATGCTTAAGGTCCTCACCTTCATTCATCATCCATCACACCTCATCACTAAGTTGGACTTAATCTTGGCCTGACCATTTTGAGCATCAACAAGTAGTTTATAGTTTAGGCTGGCATTGTTGGTCTTGGTGACAGTGTTGGCATCATAACTGGTTAAGACTGGTGGGGACGAGTGGTAGAAAGAAAGATGAACTAGAGGTGGAATTGCTGATACAGACATTGGAGATGTGATAGTTTCAGCATTTCGGGTGATGTCACGGTATTTCTCGAAATGATTGTAGTCTGGTTTTGGTTCAGTGAGAATATCATGATCATGGTATAGTGTTGGAGTGGATGCAGAACTGGCCAAAAAGTTCTTCTTGGGGGCAAATGTGGCATCTCCAGTTGGTGGCATTGAGGATGATGGCTATGGTGGATGATTGAGTGTAATGATTGGAAACATGTCACTAATACAAAAAATAATTGGGAATAGGTCAACTGATTCAAATAATTGTGGATTGTCTTACACAAGAGGGCTGAATGATTGCTTCATTGAATTTAATTGCATTTCTCATATTTATTCCCCAATATCATTAAGAAGCATAGTCATTAGTATCTCTTGTTTCTTTCTCAGGTTACAAGAGTATTCTGTAGAGACGGCCATTGCCACAATTGTTGATGGAAGTGACAGCTTAAAAATCAACACCCAACACCTCAGGGAGCTTAGCTTTCGAGTCGAATCCATCTACCAGTTCATCGGCGAGCTGCTTATTCAACCCGATAATGAGGTAAGTGGCAAATTACATCCACCTGATGATTTTCTGTGCTGGTCTTCATCACAACACGTGAATGTTAATTATGTTAGAGCAATAAGCTCAATTGTTCTTGTGTTTTTTTATTCAGGCAGTCTTGCAGGCACGTGCGGCATTGATCTCAATCTCTATTATCAATCTCTGCAATTGTTGAGACAATTTCAGGCTGATCATTTGAAGACCATATTACCATCTACACCCAACCCATCAAACAATACAAAATGAAATCGTAATGGCAAAAGGGTCAAAGCCAATAGCCCAATGATCACCTCATAATTTAAACCAAACGAATATATTTTTAATTGGGCCCTTAGATTTTTTTATGAACTTTTTGGGTAGGCCCAAGTCCTCACCTACCATTAACGTTTTCGCTGGAAGCCCGTACGTCTTTATCGGGTGCGCCGACCCACACCTGATTGTTGGCTCTTACGTGTCAGCTGCTGGTTGGTAAGAATATACGGGGTGCTGGACCCACCTTGTTGCTGCTCCTTTGCACCGCCCTCATCATGTGCGCTATCGGTGCGGAGCACTGGATACGTGGATTCAAAGTATCACGTGTAGAATAGCAGGAGAAAGTGATAATCTCGTGTTTCATGCTCCCACCCAAAAGTCTATGCACTCGCAAAATGAAAATATCTCTTCTTTTCTCTCTCTTTTCTGGGTTTGCTTCTTCAATTAAACATTATTGTTGTTCTAATAATTTTGGTAAAACAATAGTCTGAAATTTTAACAATATTCTTTATATATATTCAAGCTGTAGTTTAGAGTACTCTAAATTAATTTAATTTGTGTTAGGAAATTCGAACTTTGTTGTAAAGAGGCAGGTTCGCTACTCAGGTTAATTGGTTTGATTTTTTTCAACAAAAGTGATACTCTAAATTATAAAGAGATGAGGTTTCTCACACACAACCAGAGTGTCATGGTGTTCATATCTGAAATCATTAGTTTGCAAATTAAAGTTATTTTTCACTAAATTATATACTCTTATCGGTGATTAACTGACCTAAGTTAAGTCTGTAAAATAATTACCGTTTTTAAAATTGAGAATTAGGTGCAGCCACCGACGCCACGTTGGTAATGCCCTGCCACATTGGAGATTGGGCCACTTACCAAAGCTGATTTGATACTGGGAAAAGTTGTCACCAAATGTACACCAAGAAATTTTCCATGGTGGAGATGAGACTAGAGAAGAGATTTATCCAAGACCATGAATCTACTTTGTACCGACATTATTATGGGATTCCACTATCTCAGCGAAAAGAGGACCAGATATATTGACGGAAAGAGGCAAAATGGTCAAATGGCCCTGGAATTTTAGGGAGGAAGTAGGACCCTCCTATGATAATGATTTTTTTTTGAGGTCCAACACTTATGTGCAACTTCGCATGTCAGATTTGTAACGGGTCTTTTACTCTTTAGCTTTTGGAAGGAAAATGATAGATTTGCTCTGCTAGATTATGTGGGTTTAGGTGAGATGCACTAAAATATTATTTACTATTATCTGTTTGCAACTTTTTCTCCTTTTTGGTAATCTTATGATTGATAATGCTATCCAATTCACATTTAATATGTTTGTTTGTGTTGAAATTACGTGTTTGGTTTTTTTATTCTCCATTTTGGGGTGGTTATAATCTATATTAGATCGGTGTCACTTCAAAATCACAATCGAATCAAGTATGTATTTTGACTATTTGTGTTTATAATCCTCCTCGTACATTGAAATTTATCTGGTTTTGTAAATCAAATATACATTTCAATTTTTTGTTCAATGATTGCTAAAGTTACTATGATGTTTCTACCTTATTAATCAGAGAATATATGTAATAATTTAAACTCAAAGATCAGCTTCATGTATCATGTTAGTTTTCAAGTAAACTACCACATCATCAGCCTCTTAACCATTTAAGCACAGTAATTGTCGATTCTAATTGTTGTTTTTACTGTGAATGATCTTCGTGGAATTATTATTTAAATAAAAATTAGAGGGAGATCTCGTAATTATTTTAACTATTAATTACGTAAAGTAAAATATCGATATTACGTGTTTGTTAGCTTAGTTGGTTACAATATAATAACCATGTTCCATGACCAGCTAACCAACCGTTCATTCTTGTATATAATATGGGATTTATTTTGATATAAAAAAAAAAATTATGGGATTTATAATAAATTAACCAAAATGATTACGACGGTTTAGCAATTTTTAATCCATTTGTGTTCGTCCATGGCAGCCGCAGCTGGGCAAGATAAAGCCATGTGTACGGTCGACGACCCTTGGGAGCATTGGGTTGATAGAGATAAACAGATTCCATACTATAAAATTAGCATCGACCGTTGGCTTTTATTTTTCTGCTATTCTTTAATAGCATGTATGGTGTGACATTCCATTAATTTATTATTCAATTCAATTTTGTTTACACAACAAAATGTTATTTTCTTTTCAATAATTGTGCTAATAGTTTTATATAAACCAAGACTGCAATGTCTTACGAATGTGACATATACTTGTCTTTTGTAAATTGTATTAGTTTAAAGCCGCTTATTTGGAGCTGAATGAGTCTATAGTTAAACTTTGATTTAGTTTAAATATTTTTCTCGTTTTATAAAGAGTTTGTAGCTAAAGTAATTATAAATAGTTATACTTGCACCCGAGCTCCTCTTTTAAAATCCGCCAGTCTCGTTGGTCTTGGTTTTCGTATTGGCTACTAGCTAGAAATAGAAAATATTGAATACCACGGCCTAATTTCTACATCATAAATATAGCAGACAAAAATTCCCACAATATTCTAGCTACAAATTGTTGACCCAATACGAACTTGACGGCACATGTGAACAATGTATTTACACAAACAAATACGTACAAATTAACAGAGTTATCTGCATGAGTATATAAATAGGAATAAAAAAAGAAAGTCTTTTGAGCTGAAAAAGCTAATAGCCTTTCTGGTTTACATCTTTTAACTGTGGCGCACACAGGGTTTTAACATTTCATGACGTCCAGTTAGTGATTTGCTTTGAGTGTTTTGTGTATTACTGTTTGTATGCGCAGCAAGCTCTGTGCTTTGTTTTCTTCTCCTCGACAGATAAATATCACTTCATCTTCACCATTACCAAACAAAAACACAAACATACACACACACACACACACAAACACGAGAGGAGAGACAGGCAGGGTGTTATGGATTCTGATCGATCTCTAACTTCACTTCCTCAAGGTCTCAGCTTGGCTCGTCGGAATTGCCACCAGTTCCGATCGGTGAAACCAGTTTTCCGGCTGCTGCCTGAGGTTCCGGCTTTCTAGCTTCTGAATTTTCTGGTCAAACTTAGCTGGATTGGATTATCAAGGTTTTACTTTGACGTCTACTTTGGTTGGTATTTTTTGGTTGGTTTATGTTTTTTGGTTGCTGAGAAATGAAAGAAAAGTTTGTTTTTTTCGGTAGCGGAGAAGTTCAAGTAGAATTCTTTTCGTTTCCTTTATGAAAGTTCCTGTGTGGGTTTTGTCTGGTAACTGAGAAAATTGGGATGGAAAAGAGAGGTGAAGCCCAACATGTTTTTGTTTGGTTATCTTTAATGGTTTTTTTTTCATCTGGGTTTTCTTAGATTGCAGTAAGTTTTTTGGGCAAAGGGTTAAAAAGTTTCAAAGAGCAGAGCTTTTGCCCTTTATAGAAGCCAAGAAAATGGAGGAAAGGAGAAAGAAAGAATTGATTTACTTTTTGCCAAGTTTAGACGAGTCTCTGTAGTTACTAGAAAAGATTAATATGTTCTCAATTTTTTCTTTTTAATACCAAAACCAGAGTTTTACAGAAAACATACAAAACCAAAATACCTACCTATCTCCCCTCCTTTTACCGGATCTGGGGCCAAACTATTAATTAATAGAATAGCATTCAAACTGTTTAGGGACAGGGGTTTTTCCATCTAAACATTACCAAGAAAAAACTCTGAATCCAACGGTGGAATTCCACGCAAGCATGAACATTCTCTGTAATCTCTTCACCATTCAATGTCTTGTACGTATATCATATTAAATTCAAAGATTCTTACCTTTCTGAGTCAGATCATGCCCTTTTGTCAGTCACAGTACTATCACTCAAGTCAAGTTGCCTTAAACTTCTGTCAGTTCTGAGAGAAGAAAGTTAAATAAAATGGGATTGAAAACTAACAAATGTGTCAAGCATTTTCTTGGCCTTGTGCTTGTTCTTTCCAAGATCCAAAATGACTGTTATGTGATGTTTATAAATGTTCAACATTGTTCAGATTTTTTGAGTCTACAACCACAATTTGGTGGCCTGGAAAAGTGGAATTGAATAGCTTGCTAGCATAGGCACAGCTAATGGGGCACTTCTCCTCCATGTTCAGTGGACTGGCAAGGTCGCTATCCATCAAGAAAGGGAAAAATAACCATGGAAATTCTGATGCAAGAGATGCTGCGGAAGCAATGGCGAAGGAGGCGAAGAAGAATGACATGATAC